TCTGCTGAAATGGGACGATGATAGTCATGTGGGGTTCTGTAGAAAGAAAATGTTAGTATCCAGTCTATGTTAGATGGGATTTACTTGATTGAAGATCTTGTTTGAAATCTTTAACTTGATTGAAGTCAGTACCCGAACCTCTGGCCGGAGTGTCAGTTAAAATGGAGGAAGTAGGGGCTGGCTACACGTGATAGTTCTTCTTTTAAGAAATTACCATCTTGGAAATGATGAAGAACAAACTCCTTGGTTTGAGATATCCCTGCTCTTTGTTTTTTGAGGTGAGGGTCTTGCTATGTTGGCTAGGTACATCTTTAACTAGCTAGCTCAAAGACTATCATTTCTCAGCCTCCCCAGTAGCTGGGCATATAGGCATGTACCACACACAAGGTTTGTGGAGTAATTTTTCAGAGAGTTTAAAGAAAATGGTAAATCTAATTTATATTTGAATATGCCTTACACAGTTCTTGTTACGAGTGGCTGGTGTGTAGGAGCTGACTACATCCTATTAACCTAGAAGAGCCATCATAAGAGTAATGGGTTCATTTTTTGTTTGTTTGTTTTTTGTTTTTTGAGACAGTGTTTCTCTGTAGCTTTGGAACTGGCTTTGCAGACCAGGCTGGGCCTCAAACTCATAGAGTCTGCCTGTCTCTGCCTCCATAGTGCTGAGATTACAGACGTGTGCCACCATGGCACAGCAAGTAATAGATTCTTTAGAACCGACATTTTGTCACTGCGATGTTCAATTTTTTTTTTCTCATGCAGGCCAGTCTGGCCTCAGAGTTCCAATGTAGCCCAGGGTGTCTTGGAACTAATGTAGCCATGGCTGACTTTATAGAGATCACCTTGCCCCACCTCCCAAGCACTTACAAACCTATACCATACCTATACCTGGTTTATGTGGTGTTGGGGAGGGGAGCCAGTTCTTCCTCATGCTAGGCAGACACTCAGCCATGCTACATCAGGCCTGTAGAACTTGGTCTGCTTGAATTGTAGCTCAGCATTCAAATCTGTAAAGCAGGAATCTGCTTGCTACCCAGGAATTTGTCTTGAACGAATACACAAACTGTACCTGGTCCCTTATGTACCTAACCCCTTCAAAGCTGATCAAGATGTTTTTGGGCTAGGTTTGGTGGTGTATACCTAGAATCCTAGCACTCTGGAGAGTGAGACAGGAGGATTACAACAACATCTGGACCCGATGGCTCAAGCCTATGTCATCCTAGCACAATGCAGGAAGGTCACAAGGTGGAGGCCAGCTTGGGTTAGAGAAAGACCTGTCCTAAAGAGTAAACAACTAGGAGGCTGGAGAGATGGCTCAGTGGTGAAGAGAACTGACTGCTCTTCCTAGAGGACCTGGGTTCAAATCTCAGCACCCACATGGCAGTTGAAAACTGTCTTTAACTCTGGCTCCAGGGGATCTGACACCTTCATACCAATGCACATAAAATAAAGTTAAATGATTTTTAAAAAGTGCACTAAAAAAGACAGAACACCAGGACCTTTCTCCCATTGTTTCCAGCCCATTCAGAGTGGGAGGCCAGGCAGGGACAGAGTAGTGCACTGTACTGGGACAGTGTATGGGAGCAGTACACTGCACCAGAAGGGACAGTGTGTGGGAGCAGTGCACTGCACCGGAAGGGACTGTGTGTGGGAGCAGTGCACTGCACCAGAAGGGACAGTGTGTGGGGGCAGTGCACTGCACCGAAAGAAAGGGACAGTGTGTGGGAGCAGTGCACTGCACTGGAAGGGACAGTGTGTGGGAGCAGTGCATTGCACCGGAAGGGACCGTGTATGGGAGCAGTGCACTGCACTGGAAGGGACCTTGTGTGGGAGCAGTGCATTGCACCGGAAGGGACCGTGTGTGGGAACAGTGCACTGTACTGGGACAGTGTATGGGAGCAGTACACTGCACCAGAAGGGACAGTGTGTGGGAGCAGTGCACTGCACCGGAAGGGACAGTGTGTGGGAGCAGTGCACTGCACCGGAAGGGACAGTGTGTGCGAGCAGTGCACTGCACTGGAGCTGCATGGCTGCAGACCCACACTGAGATCAAACCCCATTCTATTTTTCAGGCCTTTATGTTTCACAATCATTTACTTACTGTTTGTTTGTGTGTTCATATGCCACGGCACACATGTAAGAGGACAACCTGGGGGAGGTTCTCTCCTTCTACCCTGTGGGCTCCAGGGATCAGGGCATCAGACTTGACAGCAAGCCTCTTTACTCACTGAACCTTTAACAGTGCCGGATCTCTCCTGGAGAAGCACAGAGCCATGCTCTTGAGAGCATTGTTCCTTCTGAGCATTCCTTTGAAGGAGGCCCCATCACTGCCATACACTCCTGGATCACCCCCCCCATCACATGGGGGCTGCCTCCGGGACCCCCCATCATCACACAGAAGGGGCTGCCTCAGGGACCTCCCATCATCACACAGAAGGGGCTGCCTCCTGGATACCCCCATCCCTCCCGGATACCCCCCCATCCCTCCCCTTGCACAAACTACACCCAAACACTTTTTTTCAGAGAGATCCTTTATTTACCAGGACAGGAGGAGGGGAGGGTTAGGAGGTCACAGATCATGACACTATCCAAGAGGTAGGAAGTCATTTTAGATCAAGCTTCTTTACTTGGCTCTAAAACAAAACAAACAAAAAACAAACAAAAAAGGAGGTGCATGGGGATGTGGCTTGGTTGTGAGCTGCTTCCCCAGTGTGAACGGAGCCCTGTGTGCAGTCCTCAAGTCTGCATAAGGCAGCTGTGGTGGACAGACACACTTGAAATCCACACTGGAAAGCACCCAGGAGTAGAGAGAAAGTTCCAAGACAGCCTTGGGGTTGAGGCCAACCTTGGCTACATGTTACTATGTTACCCTGTCTGTCTGCTTCTCTCTCTCTCTCTCTCTCTCTCTCTCTCTCTCTCTCTCCTCTCTTTCTCTCTCTCTCTCTCTCTCTCACACACACACACACACACACTATTCCCATGGTGCCGCCACATGCTAGTTTATAGTTATCATACTAACAACCTTCTATCTATCCAATGTGAAATTACGTTATTATTTGACCTTGCAATTTGGAAATTGGAGATTTCCAAAACAGAAACTTTGCTTTCTGTTCTCTTTGCTTTAATCTTTACAAGACGAAGAAGGTAACTGGAAGTTAAGCAACTGGCTGTCTTGGTGCTGGAGTACATGCAGAAAACCAGGCTGTGTGGCTGAGATGCAACCCCCTAATTAACTGGGAAATAAGACTAATCTGTCTTGATGCTAGTTTGAGTGTTTTGTTTTCTTGAGACAAGGTCTTTGTAGCCCAGGGTGGAGGCCTCCTGCTCCCTATATGTTGGGATTACAGGAGTGTATCATCACCTTGTTTGATTTTCATTTCTGCTTCCTTCAGTCTTCCTGTCCATAAAACCAACCTTTTCTGTTTAGTTAATTGGAACTCCAACTCTACTTGATAGAATAAAGTGGTCCATCTCTACAGTAAAAAGTCAAGTCAATTAAGGTCCATCCTCTAAAGCTCGGGCAGCAATTCAGTGGAATGCCTGTCTAGCATGCACAAGGCCTTGCACTCAATGCCCAGCACCTGAGGGGGTAGGTAGTTATTTTGTTGTAATCTTGCCTTATGATATATCTGTATCTGTCCAAAATTGTACATTGTAGGTTAGGGATGTAACAGTGCTGAATGCTTGTTTAACAAACTCAACTCCCTAGGTTCTGGGCCCAGTCTGTTCTTTTGCTGTCGCCGGTCCTCCTCTGTGGTGCTGGAGCTCACCACTTCTTGCAGGCTTAGCCTCTCTCTGCCACTGAGCTACATACAACCCCAGACCTTTGCTTTCAACCGCACTTGCTGGGATTTTAGGCATGCCCACATACCTATGGCAAGATGTATGATGAGACAGAACAAATGCTATTGCTCCCTTCCACTGAACAGATTGTGGCTGACACTGCACCATGACTAACAATGTTAAGACTTCACAGCAAACTGTTACTTCAACAGACAGCAGACTTTCTGCTAGAAGTTTCCGGTTAATGAGAATATGAAATATAAGAAAAAAAAAAAAAACAGCTGGGCGTTGGTGGTGCATGCCTTTAATCCCAGCACTCGGGAGGCAGAGGCAGGTGGATCTCATCTCTGTGAATTCGGGACCAGCCTGGTCTACAAGAGCTAGCTTGAGGACAGCCTCCAAAGCCACAGAGAAACCTGTCTCAAAAAACCAAAAAAAAAAAAAAAAAAAAAAAAAGAAAATGAAAAAAAGAAAAAATCCCATGAACACCAAAAAGTGAACCCAAAGTACACACATGATATGTGTCCACCTCTGTAGATGTCAGAAATACCCTCTAGTGGACTTTCTGAAAGATTCTTTAATACTCTGTTTTCAGAGTCTGGTGCTGTGCGAGCACACATCTTTAATATAAGCACTGGAGCTCAGTGAGTTTGAGGCTAGCCTGGTCTACACAGTGAGTTCCAGAACAGCCAAAGTACACAGTGAGACCCTCTCAAAAACAAACAAATAGCAACCCTTCCCCACAAAAGAAAAACTATGGTTTATTAGTTTACACACTTTAGTGTGTGGTTGTATGTAGTGTGTTGTTTGTATGCATGCTAGTATATGTGTGCCATGGTGCATATGAAGAGAGCAGAGGAGCTTTTGGGAGTCAGCTTCCTGCTTTTGTCTGGGTTTCTAGCATGGCTTTGGTACCCACTGAATCATTTTGATGGCCCCCACAAGTGATTTTTTGTTTGCTTGTTTTTGTTTTTCAAGACAGGGTCTGCTTGTGTAGTTTTGGAGCCTGTCCTGGACATCACTCTGTAGACCAGACTGGCCTCAAACTCAGAGATCCACCTGCCTCTGCTTTGAGTGCTGGGATTTAAGGCATTTGCCACCACTGCATGGCTACAAATGGTTCTTAGTGGTATTTGTGTTATATGATCTCAGAATTTATGTAGTCCAGGAAGTTTACTCTAAGAAGAATTTCTATTTATGAAAACTCTACAATCTAGTCAGAGGATACAAGATATTTATTTTATAACAAAATACATAAAACCAAAATATAAAGCATATGACTATTTGTACTTATGTGTTGACTATACTGAAATGTGTTAATTTAACATTAAACATTAAGTTACTGATATTTGAAAATGTCAAGTACATGATTAAAATGAACGTTTACTCCCCTAACAGAGACACCACTTCTGGAGTACAAGATGACAAAGACCCATTCTAACCCAGAACAGCCACACTGGCTGAGGGTGCCTTGCAGAAGGGGGGCCTGGCTGGGGTGCCATATGGAGGTAGGGGCTTGGCTGGGTTAGGAGGGTTAGGCTCTGGCTTTCTCCAGCACCAAACACTATGCCTTCGTTTTTTGAATCTTGGACCATTCTTGTGCATCCTTTTTAGTCTGAAAAGAAAAAAAAATGAGTATATTAAAAAAAAATGCTTACAAGGAGGAGGTGATGCTGAGAACTACATACCTACATCTGGGGCATTTTGTGTAAGCTAGGCAAGCTTCTCTTTCACTCACACAGCTATCAAGCATCTGTCACAGTACTTTCAGGCTGGGGTTTGCTAAGGCCTTGGTAAGAAACGACTTGGTTGATGTGGCATCCTTTCGTGCTTTCACCTTGGGGTAGTTGGGCACCAGGCAATTTATGGCCACTAAAGCCACCCCAGCCACTGGCTTCCCAGCTCCCTGTCTCAAGCACAAGCTGAGCCCAGGACAGTGAGGAAGAACTTGGGAGTGGGAGACGCTCCCAAGGGAGGACTGTCACTGTATAACCCTTTCCCTCCTCTATCGGTCCTGGAACTAGCTGGACAGGGAGGTGATCTTTATTGAGACTGCTGAATTCTGAGTGCACACGGGGCTGGGCAGGTACGGAGTGCAAGTCCCTGCCTCAACAGGAAAGTTACTAGTCTGTTCAGGGGAGGGTGATAGTCAGGATACATCAAGGCCCTGGCTGGTCTTGAACTCATTATGTAGCCAAGGAGGACCCTGAACTATGGCGTTGCATCTATTTCTTGAGTGCTGGGATAACTGGGAACATGCGGCATTCCTTCCTGTGTGACTTCAGTCGTGTAGACTGTGTTTAGGACGGGCTGAGTGCACAGATACAGACCCCATGCAGCACACGATGGTCTGAACTCTAGCCACAGATAAGGTAAGCTTCCGCTCCCATCTCCATCCGCAAGTGCTCACATTACACACATGCCCCACCATGCCCCGCTTACCCAATGCTGGGGCTCAAACCCAGGACTTCCTGAATGCGAGGCTAGCGCTCTCCCCACTGAGCTACTCTTTACCACAGTGGGGCATCTGTCATAACTACTGAACTGACACTAGAGCAAATCCTCTGGCTTTGGGCAAATAGCTAAAGGTATGTATAAGTCATTACAGGATTTTACAGGCTAATTTCATTGCCCATAAAAACATTACATATTTTTTTCTTCTAGGAGAAGGCTCTATAGTTTTCTTACAATATTTTTTGTGCTAAGCATTATTAAGATTGGCTTTGTAAAATGGGGTGGTAACGCTCCTTCCTCCCTCCCCGACTTCTTCCTTCTCCAAGGTCTCACATATCCCAGATTGGCTTTAAGCTAACAAATAGCCCAAACAACCTTGAACTTCTGTGTCTCCACTTCCCAAATTCTGAGAACATGGCTAAGTCTCCCATACCTGATATGTGTGATGCTGGGGCTGGAACCCAGGGCTTCCTGCACGCTAGGCAAACACTCTATCATTCTAATCAACCTCCGCACTGGGAATTGCTTTTAACTTTTAAAAGAAATCATGGAGAACTGGTATAACTTCATCATTAAAGGTTTGGTAGAACTTACCAGTTAATTTATTTGGGCCTAGTATTGTTTTGGTAGACATAAGTCAATTCAAATTTTAAAAGATTTTTTAAAATTATTTTCCAGTTTATATATGTGCATCTATGTGGACATGTGCACACGAGGGCATGTGCTTGTGGAGGCCAGAGGTGTAGGACTCCCTGGAGCTGCAATTATAGACGGTTGTGAGCCACCTGACTTGCATAATGGGGCCCAATATTGGTTGTTATGCTGAGCCATCTCTCCAGCTCAACATATAATATGCTACATATAGTATGGTATAGACTTGAGATGGCTCTCAGTGAAGTTGAGAGAGGAGGAGTTGAGCTCTAGTTTATCTATCTATCTATCTATCTATCTATCTATCTATCTATCTATCTATCTATCTATCTATCTATTTGTGATTGGGCATGTGTGGAGGTCTGTGGACAACCTTGGGCACTGGTCCCCACCTTTCCACTTTAATTTGAAGCTGGGTCTTAAGCAAGGCTCTCTGACCCCAAGGCTTCTATGGATTCTCCTGTCTTTGGCTTCCATCTTGTGTGGAAAACACTGGGACTATAAATTCACAACACTGCACTTGGATTTACAAGGCTTCCAGGGAGCAAAATTTGGGGTCCTTATGCTTTCTTGGCAAGCACACTGATCCAACTCCCCAGCTCCAGTTTTTTCTTGTGTATGTTATGGCAGAATGCATTCTCCAAAGTAACTTACTTAACTTGGCAGTTATTAATGTGCGAGCATAGAGGGGTCACAGTATTCCTTTATTATCTTTGAGAATGTCTGTGTGCTGCCAGGAGTGCTGATGACCTCCTGTAATCTGAGTACTTACATGGACAAGGTAGGAGAACTGCTGTGAGTCAGGGCCAGCCTGGGCTACACAGTTTAAGGCCATCCTGGTGTCTGCAGTAGGTACTTGGGCCATCCTCTCTGTACGTTGTGCTTTGAGCACAGTTTCACACAGTGGTTCATCACAGGCTCTTGTGCCTTACTCTTTGTTTTGTTTTTGTTTTTTTGTTTTTTTTTGTTGTTGTTTTTTTTCACGACAGGGTTTCTCTGTATAGCTTTGGAGCCTATCCTGGCACTCATTCTATAGACCTGTCTGCCTCTGCCTCCCAAGTGCCACCAAAGCCTGCCTTTGTTTTGTTTTCGAGACTGGGTCTCACTACATAGCTCTGGGTAGGCTGGAGCTCACTATGTAGACCAGGTTGGCCTCAAACTTACAAGAGATTTGCCTACTCTGCTTCTTCCAAGTGCTGAGGTTAGTGGCATTCCCCATCATGTCTGGCTACTTACTGTCTTGTCTTGGCAAGCCTGGTCAAACTGACCCCTCAGATATTATGTAACAGGAGGAGAACGGGATGGAAGGAACTGTGCAGGACATTCTGGGCACCCTCTGATGTACCCTTCATCCTTTTCTATCCCACCGGTGTGCGCAAGGTGACTGTTAGTTTCTGTTTAGGTTCATTAATAGGCAGCAGAGACAGTTTGCAGGTACAGAGAAGACAGGGAAAAGCTGGGCATTTATTTCCCTGCTCTTTAAGTTTGTGAACATCAATGTTTCCACAGAAAGACTATCATCCGTTACCTGCTTTGAGTCCTGGGAACAGCTATCTCTTTGCACAGTTCCTGTCCTGTTTTATCACTTGGTTTCCACGTGTGTGCATGTAAGCGGTCCCTTCAGACAGTGTCATGTTTCCTCTAAGGGCTTTGACTGTTGCAGTAATAGGCCCCAGAGGGTTGTTAGCAGAGTAAATGGCATACTGCATGTAAAACACTTAAACCTCAAAGTAAGTGCTACACCTTCCCCTTTGTCCCCTTCTCTGCTTTTTTTAGACAGTTTGCTGTTAAGATGAGCTGGTCTCAAACTGGTAGCCGTCCTGCCTCAGGCCACAGTTCAAAGTCACCCCTACTCTAGGAGGCCTGCTCTGAAACCTCAGGGCTTCTTTTGGCACTCTTTTAAAGACCCGGAAGCCTTTACAATCGATTATTATTGCTGTTGAGACAGACTTTCACACAGCCCACATGGGCCTCAAATTAGCCATGTGTTGGACTGGTGATGTAGCCCAGCACTTGGGAGGTGGAAGCAGATGACAAGGAGTTGAGTCATGGGCACTGAGTTCAAGGCCAGCTTGTGCTGCCTCAGACCACCTCTTCCTCCCAAGGAGGTACATCAAGAATCAGCTGTGAAGCTGAGGAAGATCTTGAGGTGCTGATCCCATGAAGTCTCTACTTCCTCAGTCCGAGGACCAGAGGCACAGCCACCATGCCTGGTTTTATGTGGTGCTGGGAATGATTCCAGGGCTTCATGCATGCCAGGCAAGTGCTCTACTAACTGAGCTATACACCCAGCCCCAAAGCCTCTATACTTATCTAAGCTATTATAGTTGTTGACTTGAATCACCCACTTAATAAGCTGTGCATTCTCTGTGGAAGTCATAAAATGATGTTCAATAAAGGCTGGTTTAATGATCAAACTTATCTCTACTGTTAACTTTTAATCTAAATGTGATCTATATTAATGAGAGCACCTGGCAGTTGGCCCCCATATAAACCCAACTTTTGACACTGGATACCATTAGATATTGAATTTTGGATATCTAATATTTCTTTAAAAAACTTTAGCTTTTAAATGTGAAACAGACTGTCTTGGAACTTTTTTTTATTAGGATTCAAGATTTTGACTAGGATTAGGATTCACCTACCCTGGTATCTAAGTTTCATTCATTACTACCAATCTGTGAACAAATGCCAAGTCAGTAACCATGGTGTTGGAAGGCTGATTTCTGATTCCCATGAAATGAGGACTTCTTCATTTCCAGATACTTTAGCTGGTGATGTGCTATTACTAGTAAGCTTTCTAGATCCTAAAAATTTCTAATCCATTACCAACTCTTAATTAGTATGGATTGATTCGTATAGCATGGACCACATATCAACAGCTGTTTGTATATGGGTTAGATACTGAATTAGATATTTTATAAGAAATATAACAACAAACAAATAAATGTGGTAGAGACGGTATGGGGCTCACAAAGGCAAATTATTCACCGTCTAACCCTTTAAAGACTTTTCTAACTCTAAACAGACTATGGATTAAGTGGGCACAATAATTCAGATATACAATTAGCTATTCCTTATTTTGGTAATTCCATCCTTAGATGTTTGAACAGTAGTATCACTTTTATTCTGTCAACCTAACAGTTATTGGTTCTTCAACCACACAGTGGTGCTGTGCGTACTAAATTTGATATTCCTCCTTCAGTTATTAACACAATTAACCTTTTAAGTAAGGAGAGTCCTTCACCAACCCCTCTCCCCACCCCTCAGGATAGGGTCTCTCTGTGTAGCCCTGACTGTCCAGGGAGTCTCTCTGTAGACCAGGCTGGCCTCACACTTAAGAGATCCACCTGTCTCTGCCTCCTAAGTGCTGTGACTAAGGGCACAGGCCATCACTGCCTGGCAGAGTCGTTATTTTAAGTTCACAACTCACATAGGTTCCTTCAGATGAGGTCATTTTTCATTTATTTATGTATGCAACATTACTGAGACATACTTAATGATTACCCTTATTACCATACACTGCCATAATTATTATGTTCTCGCTTAAGCTAATTATATTTATAATTTTATAGAGAAACAGTACAAATTAATAAGAACACTTTAATTGGTAGCACAGTGTTAGCAGCTCCCAAAGCCAACTACTCCAGGTTTTGTGAGGCGCCCAGAAGGCTGCTGCAGAAACAAATGATGGGATTACCTGGGAATCCACCAGAAGTAATTCATTAGTTACAGGCGGACTTTGGAGACGATTCACTGATAAGACAAAAACCTTTGTGCCATCCAGAAGTGGCCAGCTAAAACATTACTCTATAACTTGGGGATTACAAGACATTGAGAAAGTTTGTTAAAATTACAAAGAACAGTGACTGATAAAAGCAGACAAAATAAGCCTGGGGGATTGCTCCTGGGATCTAGAAAAAGAGCTGGAGATTAAGGCTCTAGTAGTGTTTAACCAGCACAACTTCTAAGGGAGGGAAAGGCTGTATTTAGTAGACATAATTACTCTGTTTTCCAGAACGCTACAGGCTAGGACACAAATATGGATTTCTAAATCTACACAGGTAGGGCCCAACTTCAATGAGTTGGCAGCTGCTCTGGGTTTATAATGGACAAAACATGAGACTGTCTGGGATCATTTGCCCCTCATTCCATGCGCACTCAGAAACTTATTTCAAAAGGCTAACTACTAAACAATATATGGAGGAGGCTGTAATATTATTTCTGACTTTAGAAATACAAATTTAATCTTTCTTTCTTTTTTGGAGACAAGCTCTCTCATTCTGTAGTCCAGGCTGGCCTGAAATTCCCTATGTAACCCATGCTGGCCTCAAGCTCGTGTCTCTCCTTCCTCGGCCTCCCAAATGCTGAGAACTGAGCTGGGAGTTTCTAAGTGAGAGGCACACATATGGCACAGCTCGAGTTCCCTAGATGTTGTTTTAAGAGCTAAGAAGATAACCAAGTCGGAGAGATAAATAACTGATTTCTTCCCCTTCATCAAGTGTCTACTGAGACAAGTAGATATGGGGAGACTACACAGAAAGGTGTGGAGACCGAGGGCTGTAGATCAGAGAAGGATGGAACCCACGCATCAGCACCCCTGAGGCAGAGGCAGAGCCGCTGATGTGCACGGAAGCTCAATGGCCATGCTGCCTGGTATGGAGGCTGCTCACATGAGGCCCGCTGCTTTCCCCGCTGTCAGCTTGGCCTACATTACTACAACACGGGCCCTCTCAATAGGTTTCCTTTGTTTGCTGGATGCTGAAGCTTTCCATCATTTCAGGACGGGAAGCTTGTGGTTGGTGGTGCCATGGGTCTGTAATCCCTGCCTTTGGAGGCAGAGGCAGGGATGTGAGTTTGAGGGCAGCCTAGCAAAGCCTGTCTGTGAGACCTTCCTAAACTCCCAAGGGCTGAACTGTAGCTCAGAGGCAGGTAGAATCCTTGCCATGTACAATTGCAAGAAGGAGGTTCAGTCCCTGTCGTGGGAGGAAAAAGAAAGCGGGTTGGATTATACGATCATAAATATCTTCCATATCACTGCTCGGTGTGTGTAAAGAGAAGGCTGGGGTCACAATTCCTATACTCAACTTGTTTTTTTCTCCCTCCCTGAGACAGGGTTTCTCTGTTTAACTCTAGTTGTCCTTTGAACTCACTTTGTAGATCAGGCTGGCCTCAAACTCAGATACCCGCTTGCCTTTCTGCCTCCTGAGTGCTGGGATTAAGGGAATGAGCTGCCCCAGGGCTTCAAGTAGTTTTTATAAGCATCTAGAGGGCTCACTGAACTGGAATATTAAAAATTTTCTGATTTTGAGTCTTGCAGGATTGCAAGTCAAACCTCATGTTTCATTTTGGAAAACCATGTTGAAGTAGAATAATTAATAATACCACCCTTTTCCTGTTGCCTTTTTATTCCCTTTTGCAGTATTTGTTGAAACAACTTTCAATATTTCCTAAATTGTATGTATCTTCTCCACATTTCTCCATCCCTTTCTTCCAGACAGGGTTTCACTACAGAGTTCAGGCTGACCTCCAATTCACGATGTAGCTGAGGTTGGCCTTGAATTCCTGATCCTCTTTCCTCCATCTCCCACATTCTGGGAATACAGATGTGCTACCCAACCCTTTTAATGTTGTCTCAGCAAGTTGAGCACACTGGTCTAGAACTTACAATCCTCCTGCCTAAGCCTCCCAAGTGGCTGACACAGCAGGCATATACTGGTATATCTGGCTCTAGTTGGTATGGATTTTTCCTTATGAAAGACTCAATGTAACATTTTATAAATAAGCATGAGCAGGTGCTACTTTTCATCCTTTTTATTCTCACGGAAATGAAAACATTGTGGTCTGGGCAGATGGCTCAGTGATGCAAGTCTAGAATCTCAGCATCCTATGGATGAGATGGGAGGTGGAGACCAAAGAATCCCAGGAAGCCTGAGGGCCGGGAGTGGCAAAAAAGAGACCCCAAGTTGTTCTCTAACCTCCTTATGGGCATGTGGCTCACATGGTCCCTAAGAACATGGACAGACACCCACATCATGTGCATACACACATGTAAAAATCATTTACATTTACATTTACATTTACAATAGAATACATTTCTGAGTCCCTTGTAAATAGTTCCTGTAGATGGCAGAAAGAAAGGTGTAGATTTAGGATAATTTCTAGGCAAGTTCAACATGCTAATTAGAAACATAAAATCTAATAGTCATCTAATGTCCACCTTAGGGATTAGTATAGACATTGCAAGACCTTTGCCCAACACTATCCAAATTGATTTAAAACAAATATGAATGAGAAGAAAAATATATTTGGCGAAAACGAGAGCTTAAAATTCTAAATATTTAGGTGTACTTACAAACAATGTTGGCTTGGGTATAAATATATTATCTTCATGTTCTCTTGGCATGCTCAAAATCTTTGATGCTTGATCTTCTGTGACACCCCCTGATTCCATTTTAGGGCGGAGTAAGTTGTTCTCAGAATGTTTGCTACACATATTAATGATAATTTGTTTCATGGCTGCAAATTCCTGTTGATATATGAAAGCACGAAAAAAGTTTTTGGCAAACAGACTAATAATGATTGCCACTAAAACATTTATTTCTTGTTTTTTTAAAAACACTTATTTTAAGTAGATGAAATATTTGAATAATTATATGTATGAGGAGAGCTGAGAAAGCAAAATATTAATGTATAATAATCATGCACATGACTCTTAAAATAGTAAATATGACATTACTTTTAGCATTACAACAGACTTTTTATAGGCTAGTGGTGGCTGGGTTTTCTGCATATAGAAGTCACACATGGAACTTCAAAAAACATACAATGATGTGTGTGTGTCATACCTATAGCCTGTGACACAATGGGTGTGGAATGTATCTGGAGCTCTACTGCAGTTCTCTGCACACATCTGTTGAGTAGAGTGTTAGTAACAGCTATTATTTAATTGCTGGAAATCAAACCCAGGCCTTGTGCATGGCAGGCAGTCTTAGCCTGGTAAGCTTTTCCTTCTTCTTAAGCCATCCCATTACTGTATGAAGTCTAAAATGAAGAAGGTAGAGAAATAGAACACAGAGTGGCTTTCCGTGACTACTAATCGTGGTTTACTTCAAGCAGTAAGTTTAATATAGTTTCAGCACATTTCTTTAGCTGTAGTATTTCTGTAGCCATTTACAAATGGTAAAGGGAGCTGGCTCGAGTTGCCATTTTTAATTTTTCCAGTCCTGGGGATTGAGTCCAGGGCCTTGTGCATGCTAGCCAAGTACTTTACCACTGTGCTAACCCCACCCCATCCTGCCCAGTTGCCTCTCCAAAATATTTATTTCCTTGCTTAATTTGAGACTGTGCTAAGCTATGTAGTCATGGCTGCCTTGGCATTTACTTTGTAGCCCAGGATGGTCCCTTCAGCCTTCACAGTGTTGTCACCTGGGTTTTAATTTGCCTTTTTAATGAAAAATTAACTCTCTGATCCTTTCAAAAAGCTCAGAATAAAATTTGCAACTGCGTCTTCTCAAGCCTGTTATTTTTCTCCCAGACAAACTTCTGGCTCTCCATTAGTGGGTACTTTGATTACTTCCTAAACTGATACATCAAACACAAACACCCGGGGAGATGGCATGCTACCCCATTTATCTGTAGAGTAGCGGTGGGCTCTGCACTGGCATTTCTTTCCTATTATTTTATCTTCATGCCAACACACAAAACTTAGGGCAACAGAAGGATGCCCTGCTCCCTGCTACGGATCTGTTTATAGATGCCAGCTCTGTGTCAGAGCAAGTCCCTACAGGCCTCTCTTTTCTGGCTGTCATTAGTTCTATTTAGAACTACCTAGCTGGAGTAGATATTTTAAAACAGACAGTGGAGTTTGAGCCATTCGGCCTTATAGACTCCCGGGCCAGGGCAGGAACTGGCACCCGTAGTGATAGAATACTTTCTCCTTTCTGCAGTGTGCATGAATACAGCCATACAGTTATTTGGGCCTATATGAGACTCATTTGGCTTCAAAGATTGCGTTATTTAATTTGCGGTAAAGAAAGCAACCACTGATTTAATGTTAAGCTTATTCAGTTACAATGGATTTTATTTCATTAACTTTTTTTTTTTTTTCTTGACAAGGTCTCTAGTAGCCTAATTTTCTGCTCTACTTTTCTGTGTAGCCAAGGATGACTTTGGATCCTCCTGAATGTTGGAATTACAGGTTTGTACCAGCTGTTTATGTGGCGAAGGGGATGGAACTCCAGGGCTTTGTGTAGCTAGGCAAGTGTTTTACCAAGACAGCTACATCCTCAGGTTCATGGTATAATTGAGCTCTTGCACTACTTAAGGGGAAAGAGGAGAATGATGGCTTCCTAGTCTATCAAAACCAGATGAAATTTTTCAAGACAGGGTCTCACTGTGCAGCTCTGTCTTGGAGCTCACTATGTAGACTAGGCTAGCCTCACACAGAGATCCACCTACCTTTGCCTCCCAAGTGCTGGGATTAAAGGCGTTTACAATTTATTTTATCTGAAAAAACATTCGCTAGCCACAAATATTTTTAACTTGAAGACAAAATAAAACATGAAAATGACTCCCAACACAATCTACTAGCATTTTACAAATATATAGATGGTATCTTGAGGGCTTTCTCTCTTTAATTGTCCCAGAGACAACTAAATCTCCAGAGGCACAGCTTCTTAAACCTCTTCTCACTTGCAACCTCCTTTCTCAAGATCCCTCCCTCAGGGTTTCTCTATATTTCCTTGACTGTCCTGGAATTCACTCTGTAGACCAGGCTGGCCTCAGATTTACACTTGCCTCTGCCTCCCCAGTTTTGGGATCAAAAGCATGCACTACCACTGCTCAGCCAAGCATTTTTTTTTTTTAAAATGTGATCACTGGGTGTAAAATGTATGTAATCAATCAAACATTTGCTAATAAGCCACATATTAATTAA